ATTTTTCCGATTATTAATTTGTCTCCTCACTTTTGACTTAAAACTAATTCATATGAAGCTAATCTGCGAATGCGCATTGCTTTAAGTTGCTAATTGCTTCAGCAACCTCCAGTTTCTCACGTTTCAGCATTTCCGTTCTTTTCTTTTTTCCCCGCCGTTTCTCATTTAGCCGTACGCGTTTCCATTAATTGACCTTGAAAGTTTAGCCAAACATGAATGTCTAATAGGTGAAAATCGGAATTTGATCTAAATGGTCGTACTTGGAAATTTTTGGGCATATATCATTCATTGTGGTGGTCACTTTTAAATTTATTCACGATAATGCGCAAATTGGCTGATGAATTCGCTTTTTAAACAACCGAAATACCAAAGTGGAACGTGAGCTAGTGTGACTTAACGCTGTTGCAAAAAAATTACGCTCTGCTGTTGTACACTTCTAAAAACCAGTCGCTGTAGTATATAAGAGTGTGAGTGAGTACTCGAAGTCGAACAGCTCCTATGGACATCGACAGTCGCATAAAGGCATACCGCTTCGTTGGATATGCGGCTGTGACCTTCTCTGCTGTGGCCGTACTGTCTGTCTGCATCACTCTACCCCTGGTCTACAACTATGCTAGACATATTCGTCGCGTTGCTCATCATGAACTCACGCAGTGCAAAGTCTCAGCCAAGGATGTATTAGAGGATGCTACGAAGCTACCAGAGACTAACAGAACAGCTAGAATGCTGGTACGGCGTCAGTATGAAGTACCTCCCGAAGCAGCAGTAACCGCAGTTGCCGCTGGATACTGCCAAGGTTGCTGCTTACCCGGCCCACAAGGCCCTCCTGGCCCGCCAGGCAGACCTGGCCGTCCAGGAAAAGCTGGGGCACCAGGAGCTCCTGGAAATCCTGGTCGACCACCTCAATTGCCCTGTGAGCCTATAACTCCACCACCCTGTCGTCCTTGTCCTCCTGGACCTCCTGGACCTCCAGGTGAACCCGGACCTATTGGAATGAGTGGTCCAATCGGACCTCCCGGTCCCCCGGGTCTTGCTGGACCTGCAGGACCGCCAGGCATGAAAGGTCCACCAGGACCTCCAGGCAAAATGGGAATACCTGGCCCACAAGGACCACCCGGAGAATCTGGCAAAAATACTGAACCGCAGCCTGGACCTCCCGGACCTCGTGGACCTCCAGGACCACCTGGTCCCCAAGGTCCACCTGGATTACCTGGAAGTGATGGTCAAAATGGCGAAACTGGACCGAAAGGACCTCCTGGAGCACCTGGTCAGCCTGGAGCAGACGGACAACCTGGCGCACCAGGACAGCCCGGACAAGATGGACCTCCTGGACAGCCTGGTATTTGTCCCAAATACTGTGCTCTCGATGGAGGAGTGTTCTTCGAGGATGGAACACGACGCTAAAGATTATCTGAAACATATTCACTGTGTACACAGTATTGCAATAAATGCTTATTTGAGTTGGTGTCTGAGTGTCTTGTCTTGTAATCTTAATTTTGAGAAGCTGAAATCATTTTGCGCAAGAGACTAAGTGCGAATGTAAAGCATCTTCGCTACGGTATCATTGTTATGCGAGCTTCAAAAGTTGCATGATCTCATGGGTGGTCGAA